GCCTGGATACGTCGTGCTGCTTGCACGATCTCGATATGCTGATATTGCAGTCGTCTGTGTGCTCACAGCAGTGCATCGAGCATGAGGAGGCAATGGCCCAGAGACTATAACAAGGGTGACGTCAGTGCCGATACCCACCCTGGAGGCATGCTAATGTTCTAGAAACCCAAACGTTGAGCAAACGTGCACTTTGTCATGCACTCCACCAAGGGACCAGCCAGGTGCCTACTGGGCAGAGCAGCCGGGCACGAGGGTGTGGCATTCCTGCTTACGCGACATTGGGCTGACGCGGTCAAACGCTGGTCAGCCCTAGCCGGACCTCGAATGACTTAGTGCACTCTACCCTGCTCCATCCAGCCCTGCCGCAACCTTACTGTGCAGTACCTTTGCTGCAGCAATTTGGGGATCCATGTAGGCCGGCCAGGCCTTCCTTTGTGCTTGTCTATTTGCTCAACCTGGGTCTGCTCACGATGCCTACACCGCCTGCAGCGGCTCGACAACAGAAGAGTAGCCACCCGCGACGCCGCTCCCAAAAGCCACAACCATTCGACACACCTGACCTGCATCCTCAACCCTGCTGATGGCACGGAAGGGATCCCGCAAGGTCCGGACCGGGTGCCTCACCTGCAGTACGTTGTCCGTTCCACGTTCAAGCTTGACACTGACGGCCGGGAGCAGAGATCCGAAAGATCAAGTGCGACGAAGCGAAGCCGAGGTGCGAGCGGTGCACGAGCACGGGGCGCAAGTGTGACGGCTATGCCGAGGTCGACGCCGGAGCGGGAGCAACGGCGGCCGGCCCACTGTGGTACCGGCCGCGCACGGCGTTCCAGGGCGTCGACGACGCCGCCGAGCTGTCGGCGCTGCAGCGCTTCACCGAAGAGCTCAGCCCGGTCCTTTCGGGGCCTCTGGACCCGTACTTCTGGACGCACCTCGTCATGCAGTTTGCACACTTTGAGCCCGCCGTCCGCCACTCGCTCGTCGCCATCAGCTCCCTCTACGCCCAGCAGACACCAGCCCACACGAATCGTCCGCAGCTGGCCGACAACGCCTTTGCCATGCACCACTACAACGCCGCCATACGCGACCTGCGCAGCATGCGCAACGAGCCCCTCGTCCTGCTCGTCTGCGTCCTCTTCACCTGCATCGAGGTCCTCCAGGGCAATGCCCGCGCCGCCGGCCAGCACTGTCGCCACGGCACCGTCATCCTCTCCCACGTCGAAAAGGCATACCCCTGGGCCCGCCAGCATCTCTCTCCCATCTTCCGCCGTATCAACGTCATGCCCTTCTTCTTTGGCCAGCCCGACTTCCCCAAGATGACCGAGCTCGACGACCCTATCCCTTGCGACTTTGACGGCCTCGCAGACGCCCAGCTCCACCTCGACGGCATCATCAACCGTGCCATACACCTCTTGCGCTACGGCATGATCGACCGCGTCAACATCCCAAACTACGCCGCTCTGCCCGCCCCCCGGCACATTCTCGACGAGCAGCTCGAACTTATGCGGCGCCTAAAGCAGTGGCAGGCCAGCTTCGCCCCGCTGCGCGCACACACTCACCTTTCGAGGCAGAACGCCACGACATGCTGTTACATGGTTGTCTTTGCAGGCATCGCCCGTGTCTGGGTCGAGACGACGCTCAAGGACGACGAAATGATGTACGACAACTACCTGCCCCTCTTCCGCGAGCTCGTCGAGGAGACGGCCAAGATTGAGCTGCTCGAGCGCGAAGGCCTCTACCATGGCAACAATAGCGACAACAACAGCAATAACAGCTACCCAACCAAACCAAAGTTCTCGTTCGAGATGAAGTTTACTCCGGCGCTGTACTTCATCGTGATAAAGTGCCGCGATCTCGGCACGCGCCTTCGCGCCCTCTCGCTGCTCCGCAGCCTCGCCGTCGCCCGCGAGAACTTGTGGGAGGGAGCCGCGCACTACGCCATGGGGAAACGCGTCATCGAGCTCGAGCACCAGATCAGCATCGGCCAAGACGGCGCGCCATTCATCCCGACCTTCAAGCCCGGGCCCGAGCCCGTGGTGGGACCGGGAGCGGTGGAGGCGAGAGCGGAGGATGTGCAGAGGCAGGTGGACTGGACCGCGCGGCCACCAGACGAGCGCCGAATACGGTCTACTAACTCGACGCCCGACCTATGCATGCGTATCGACGAGGAGACGGGCCGGACAATGTACGAGAGGAAGGCGACGTTCTTTTTTGGCTCGCCCGAAGGAGGGTTGTACCAATACACAGAAATGATGCCGGAAGTGCCGCAGTGGCGGTGATAGTAAAGTGATAACTTCCCCTACGACTTCTTCACTAAACTGCGTGGTGTGATTATTATTTCAATAACAAATTGTAACGTGTATACTACGTACAATCCTACAAAAATGGTTTCTTCGGAGCTGTGGATGCGCTTGTTCATCATGCCGCTCGATAGCGCTACTGTGTCGTTTGGTATCCTGTCCACGTGCAAAGTAGGCGGCAGTAGAGACCATGCCGAGCGGTCGCCATGGTTAGCCAACCACCAGCCCAGTATGTCCAGTATACACGACGACGGAGGAACTATCTCTGTCCGTGCTTTCCCGGCCTGGGAGAAGCATGTTTTGCCGCACGTTTCCCACGATGGACAACAGCAGTTTGACTAGCCGTCCAAGGCCTGGACTGGCATGGCTCTGTGACACTTCTGCGCGGTCTGCGTTCAGATTGCTCGCCCAAGTGGCGGCGTCCGATCACGGCGGTGCTCGCTGCATGGGTCGAGTCACGCGCAAAGGGATGCGGTCACACTCTCTCCTAGAGAGACACTGGAATACTGATTGCTTCGACTTGTGCTGATGATGGACAATGCGTGAATGCCGCAAATCGTGAGTAGTAAGATTTAGAGGGTGGATCATGAAGTCGATATCATGGCCATTGCTACCTCGAGCTCGAGATTAGGGCCTGGTGACTTTCCGGTCAGTATTCGGTGGCCATGGCTTTCGAAGCTTCAAAAAGCATATGACGCCTTCTCTCACGACGGGCGTAGAGCCTCCACGTGTGTCTGATACACGGCGCCAATCTCGCGCTTGGCTGATCTGCGAGGATCGGAGCTCGCGAAGTCGAAGTCTCATATCCATTGTCATGGGAGAGGCAACTGCCCATGTCGTGTTTTATTGTTTGGCTTGCCACGCGGTGATTGGTTCAGGACATGCCCACATCCGTGGGATCTATCGCGATGTCCAGCATGCAGCTACGTGATATAGCGACGGAGGTAGCCCAGGCATCAGTGGCCACCTTTGCGGGCGTGATGCCCCTGACGGCCAGCGCGACGGACCCTGCCGAGTAGAGGTATGTCAGTGTGATCCATTCGAGCCCTAGATTAGACATGATGCATAGCGACAGCCGCGCCTTTTCCAGGATCGGCATATGCTTGACAGCCTGGCCGAGGGCGAGCATCAGCTTGTGCACGGCCACGAGAGCCTGGGTCTGGTTCTTGACGCGCAGGTACGGCCTGCGGAGCATGTATGAGTTGCGGGCGTGCAGGACGCGGAGGTTGGCCCAGTGTGGAATATCCTGGTCGGACGCGACCGTGTCCCGCAGGAAGGGGGCAAAAAACTCGAGGGCGTCGACGCAGTCGTCAAAGACCAGGGACTCACACTGCTGACTGAAGCGGCGGAGGCCAGAGTAGAAGACAGACCAGGGCTGATGCCGCGGGGCCACGGACGAGCCAGAGGATGCACGTGGGCGGCGGAGATGGAGGTGCCGCACGCGCGGAGCGTAGAGTTCTAGGCTGCCACCGAACAAGGCCCGCTGCTTCTCGTCGCGGTCGCTCGACGAGTCATGGTTGAGCTCGACGTGGAGGGTGTCGAGGGCGAGGCAGCGCGAGCCAATGGCGAGGATCGAGGTGGGCTGGATGTGACGACCTTGGCACCTGATGCTGCCGACGACGAAGTTTGGCAGCAGGGTCATGGGCACACGCTCGAGGCGGAGGGGGCTGCGGCGGGCGCGGTTGGTGATGGCGGCATGGCCCCATTTGTCGTCTCTGGCCGTGTCGCTCGGCGAGTCGACCGAGAGGGTGAGGGCTGTGCGGTGCCGGACGGGCGGCAAGGGCCAGTCGTGGAGGATGGCAAAGAGGCGCTCAAGGGGTCTGACGACAGTGGCCGACGTATGCCTGCGCTCGTGGGGCAGCTCCTTGTCGTCGTTGAGCCTTGTGGGGTACGCGTCCAGAGCCACGTGCAGCGAGAGGGCCTGGACGCTGGCCCGGCGCCGGCCGACGACTATCCGTGCAAAGTCGTCGAGCCGCGCCGGGGTGACGTGCACATGCGCAAAGGTAAAGCCCTCGATCGTCGTCTGCCACTCTGCGCACACGCTCGCGAGCCCGGCGAGCCCCCGAGGTTGGCCGTGGCTGTCGGCCGTGACGAGGCCGAGGATGAGGTGGCGGAGCTCAAAGGGCAATGCGGTGATCGGAGCCGCCATGGCCCTGATCATACACGAGCAGCAGATGCTGGGAATCTGACCGGCGAAAGGCGGACACACCACCAAGAGGATGGGAATCTTCTTAAGACAGATGGACAATGCCTGGCGACGCCCTCGCCTTCGCCCATCGGCGATCCTCTCGCGCACAGCAGCCTCTGAGAAGACCCTGATCGCCGGAGCGCCAAGACACCTTACGCATCGCCCCACCTCAGCCTCGGGAGGGCTATGCCCGTTTAGGCCTAGACGACAGGTCAAAAGACCCTGAATTCTCATTTTGGTGCAGCAGCAGCTTCATGTCCAGGTCTTGTCGTTATACCTGTTGGTCAGACTGGTGTACGGCCAGATAGCATACACTACTGGCGACATGGCTCGAGTCTACCACACAAGACTGAGAAGACTAACTATGAGCTATCATAGTTATCTGCGTCTCGATTTCATTTCATTCTAAAAAGGTTCTTTATACTGTTTCATTTACAAACTATACCCCTGTTGCATTGTCCTCTTGGAAGGATTTGGACAAGAACTGAAAAAATTGCAAAAAAAAAACCAAAAAACATACAACACCGGGGATTCGCTGGTCGTCACCGACCCAACTACTGATCCGGCGGTATCGAGCTTGTGTACAGGGGAGCGGACGGGACCCTCAATTTTCTCGATCCTATGGTCGTATGTGAAAGATGTTGCTTCTATATAGAATTATATTCATGAGATAGACGGAAAGTGGCTAGTAGTCCATGATTATTTAAGCTCGGGAGTGCGGGCAGCGAGAGACCCACCCACCAGGTTGTACCTGCATGCTCCACTGGCCTGTGATGGCCTTTAGAATTATGCACACCAGATAGACTGATTACTGGCAATCTGGAAAGCCGTTTCCAAGTTAACGATACAAGCACAATTGTGGCGAGCTCTGCTCGTTCATGGGCTAAGATGCAACCAGATCAATCTGCATGGTGAGCATGAGTGTTATTGAATGGATATCTGTTCCCGACTATCCTCGCGAGGCGAGGTTCACCATGTGCTTCGCAACCCAATGCAATCATACACGCATCCGACATGATGCCGTCCGCCATGCATACCTTACCAACTAGGCGTCGCCTCTGGCTTGTTGCCACACTTTGCTATAAAAAAAAGCATGCTTTTAGTCCGGAAGCCTGCCAATCCACTGCTACCATCCACTTGCAAAAAACCGCTCTCAAAGTCCATTTTGTGCAATCACAATGTCGGCGGTGATTTGCACCAAGTGTTCATTCCCCTCGGCACCTGCAATCCGCTGATGATCAGCACCGGATGCTGTGCTGCCATGGACTTGTATTTGCCTGCCACCAATGTGTTGTTGCGCAGGAAAATATTTAAAAATAGCAAAATGTAAAAAGAGTGCTCGAAATCGAAGTATGCTGTGTATGTCCGGAACTCCGTTGCGATGTCATGCGCCGCACTCTCGAATGCCGGCGATTAGGACTTGGCCTCCCCATGAGGTGACTATGGAGGGGGAAAAAAAAATGGTAAAGTAGTCATTAGGAAACATGATTGAAGGGTATCGTCGCGCTGCGGATGTTGTCGAATGGATCTCTGGTTGCGGCTGTGATGGATCGAGGTTGATGGCTAAATTTGGGCGACAGGTAGGCACAGCTTGTGGCTATGGTTCCGACAAGCATGTTGGCTGGTTCAACACTGTTCGTCGTCATCGGTGAGTGACACAGCACGCGGCTGGAATGGGATGTGTTTCGGAACACGCTGCAACTGAGCTAATAATTCGTCCAGCTCTACCCAGTTGCGGTGGTCGTCCGCAAATCTGCGGTGTTTCCTGCTGACGACATGCTGTTGATTGAAGAAGAAAATGGTTAGCTCCTAGTCTAGCTCCAGCTAAGAAGTTACAAGTCGGTGTACTTACCTCATCGAAGTCGTTGTATTTCTCCACACAGTTCTCGCAGTAGCCAGGCTTCAGCTCACGCTTCCGCGGTTTTGGAGCGAGGCGCTTCTCGGGCAGGGCAGCAACTTGGTTGACATCTTCCTCCTCACCGCGACCTGGTGCCGCTTCTTCTACCTGGTCAAGCCTCTTGCTTGATGTTCGTCCCAAGGTCGATGGGCGCCTGTTTCCTGGTTCTTCCCGAAGGACCTCAGTGGTACGACGTGAGCTCAAATCCTGCGAAGTAGCGGTGCTGTTGCGCTTGAGGACCTGTCGTTGCAGGCCATGAACTTCCTTGCTTAATCCAGTGATGACGCCTGGGGTTGCTGCGGTTGATGAAATCATCTGCGATCGGATGGCCGAGGTAATGTTGGAAGGCTGGACGCCAGATGCCACCGGCTCGCCCCCAAAGAGCCGACCTGCCGCAGCACGGCTGGTGAAGGCGTTGGCACGCGGATCACCCTTCTTGCTGGCAAGACTGTTGGCAAGCTCGATCGACGCCACACTCGAGTTACGGCTATGGCTATGCTCCATCTCACTGAGTGTGCGTTTTCCAGTGACTGGCTTGGGCGGTTGAGCCTCAGGCGCTTGGACGACAGACTTTTTTACTTCGACAACAGGCTTAGCCACTGGCTTTGGGCGATGGTGATGCCTTGCCTCGCGGTGATCGTAGTCCTCGACGAACGGGCAACGACCCACAGCAGCAGTGCGGAACTGTGGCCAATCACCGTCCGCTTTATCAGCAACCTTTTCATATTCCCTGACCATGATCGGCTTTTGCTTCTCGTCCATGTCGTAGATATACAGGTAAGGACCTTTGAAGTAGTGGAGTTCTTTGGCTGCCACGGTTGGGTCTCGATCTGAGGGACCGTGCACGCGTTCGTTGTGGAGAAGCTGGAGGAGATTGCGATCTTGAGTTGCGCGAGACTCGTGTGCCTGGGTACGGTTGCCATACGTCATCTGCATGCTTACGTATGGATCTTGTTCCAACAGCAGGGGCAGCATACGCTGCAGCTTATCTAGTGACCAGATCTTCTTGCCCATCTCCCTGGCGCGGAGCAGGATATCGGTATTGCGCTTCGGCATTACTCTGAGTACATCTTGCTGGACCTGAGGCTGGGCCTGACGACTGCGTAGCTCCGCGTCGAATAGCTTCCGCTTAACCGGGATCTCGGATGGCCTGCTTAGCTTCTTAGGGTCAATCGTCTGGAGCTGCTCCTGTTCCGGATCGACGTGTACGTCCTCTTTCTCAACGGCGCCGAGGGATTCGTGTCCGTCTCGTGAAGAGATAATCTTGTCTGTAGGAATTGACCGGGTTGTGATTACGTGAGTTATCTCGATGGAAAAGAATTTTTCTTCGCGCTATTGTCCAGTTCACCAAATAATGATTAGTTACTGGATGCCCAATTCAAAGACGCGGTGATTCAGCAGGGACCACGGAGCGAACTTACGGAACCCAGCTGGCTGATCTGCTTGGCCAGCTTGTGGCGTGCCTCAGTCGGGATCTGGTCGAAGAAGAAAACCATCTTGGGAAACTTTGCCCGATGGTGCTTTTGCCAATTACGAAAGTCTTCGACGCTCTTGTCAGACTGTCTGCTGTTCTGCTCCACGGCAGCCACGTTGGCCGCCGTGGCAATCTGCTGGTTAAGTTGTTGGGAAGCATGTTGTGGCCGTGTTCGTTCGAGATCGAGTTTCGTGCGGTACGTGGCAGGGTTTGCCCGTTGCTGAAATAGAGGCTGGCTTCTCGAGGAATTGCGAGACTGTTGCGAGGGTGACTTGAGCAACCGGGAGGACGTGGAACTATCGACGATCTGCTTCTTGGCGGGCGGGGGCTCGGCGTACGACTCTTGGTAGTCACGATTTTGGTCGCGAACGGCGACCACAGGCTGAGGCAGGGTACGACGAGGCTTCAAGGCGAAGCCGGCCGCTGCGGCGTGGTTTGCAGCAGCGGCCGAGGGCCGGAGAGGAGAATTGGCGGCGTTAATGTTTGTCTGGAGGGGGAGCACGCGTCTGCTAGACATGGCGGCTGGGGGCCTGGAGAGAGAAGGATGGATGGGAGAATGGGAAAGGACTACAGCGGCCATGTATGAGTCGGGGCGTGTGGCGACTGGTGCTATGATATCATGTTCCGGACGGGACGGTCAGGCTGCAGTGATAAGCAGTCGTCGTCGTCGTCGTCGGCGACGGAAGGAGAAGTGCAGTAAGAAGTTGCTTGTGTTTTGATGTTGTTGATTAATGCTGTGGGGCTCTGATGGAGCCTGCGGTGGAGCGGAGCTGCTCTCGGGGGTTGGTGGCTGGGCGCGGGCGCGGGCGCGGGCGCGAATCGAGAACTAGGCTGGACCGCGACGAGACGAGCTGGCGCTTGGGGGCCCTCTGGTAGCGACACTGAGCGTTGAGCAACAGCAGAAGTCGTGAGCAGACAGATGGGATGAGGGGATTGCCGAGGGTGTGGCGTGCGCGGAAAAAGGGAGAGGAGAGGGCAGAGTCGGCGGAGCGTGAGGCAGATCAAAGTCGAACGTGCCAGTGGTGGGTGGCAGGCTGGAAGGAGAGGGAGAAGAAAGCGAGAGCGTGTCTGCGGGGCGGGCCGGGCAAGTGCAGGTGCTCACCTAAGCACACCTCAAGGCCGGTGCCAGGACTTGACGCGACGGGCCACAGCAACGCAGCCGGGCCCACCGAAAACACGCGCTCGGTCGCAGCGCAGCAGCAGAGCGGGGAACAACCCTGGAACCTTGGAAGTGCAAAGTGTGAATCCAGCACTGCCCGGGCACCAGCAGGTGTCTGATGCAATCCCACGGTCGGCCGTCCCGATGGCTCGTCGTTGCATCGTCTTTTCACTCTTGTTGCCTCGATGCGATGAGCTGGTCGTCCAGTGCCCCTTTGGACTGCTGCCGGGATGGACCAGAGGCTCTTGCTGCTCGCAGTGTGCAGAGCCGCCACCATGCACCGCAACCACCTCCATGTGCCATGCCTGTCGTCATTTCCCGAATCGGCAGCATGTTTTTGTTTGCGGGACACGGCAGGACACGACAGGACGTGCAAGGCGGCCAAGCCGGTGCACCTGCAGCTGCAGCTTCGAAATTGCCGAGCCCATTCGGCAGCAATCACGATTCACCGTGCCCACTACCTGCATGCATGTAAAGGTAGCGTATGATGATGTACGTCCAGTCGTCCAGTCGTCCACCTGCCTGTTGTTGCACGCCTCCGCTGCAGCCGTGAAGGCATTAGGTACGGAGTAACTTGAGGTTCTTTTACAACAGGGTGTGGCTCCCGTCGTCCTCATGGCCGGCAACCCATCTGCGTGACTCTTGGGCGGCACGCATACATGCAGTCGAGACGCCGTCTTTCATTCTGCCAAAATCCTGCAAGATAAAAACGTTGGTTGCGAACGCTTGTTCATGTGCGAGACTGCATGTTTCAGGAGCTTTGCGTGTGCACCAGCCAATCACAGCCTACCTAAAGCAATGCCGCCAACCTCCAAAGTTATATGTACCCCGTGCGCTACGTCAGCTACCCCACGCCACGGTCTACCTTTGCTGCCCATCACTGTCTCCATGTCGAGCTCTTGTGCTGTGTGACTGACGAGCCTCTCCCGCCATGAGAACGTCCTCGTCAACGAGGGCCCTAAGGCGGGCTCTCTCGAAATTGCCTCCTCGCCAGCCGGCCCTCGCACGTCTTGGGCCGTCATTGATAAGTCTGCGTGCTTCTTCAGCCGTGCCTCCAGCAACCAGATCCTACGCCTCTACTGCTGCCGTCCCCGCGTCGGA